AAGCATGGGAAGACCTCAAAAGAGATAAGTAGATGACATAAAAGCAGTGGCAGGCAAACAGCGGATTAGATTGGAGCAAGATAGAGAAAGATGGAAGCAATTGGGAGAGACCTACATTCAGGAGTGGATGGAAAATGGTTGACAAAGAAGAGCCATTGTAGTAACAAAAAACCTAGGACTACAAACAGAATTACAAACGCAAAATAAAGGCACAACGGACCACAACTTATCCTATTAGAACCAGGAACATGGGAAGAAGAAAGCATAATTAAAAGAATAAAAAAACAAAGTGAACAAACTCGTGAGCACCGGAATAAACATAGTTCCAGTGATAGACAATCCACGAGAGATAGAAGACAGAGTCGTGGAGTTGGAAAACATCATCCAACAAGCACTCAGAAACAGCATTACAGAACAGGAAGTAGAAATACACACGGGAAAATTTAAGGACATACCACAAGTAGTAAATGACTTGATAAGGGAAAAGAACAGAGAAAAGCAGACAGCAAGAAGAACAAGAAACCAGGCAGATAAAAACAGAGCAAACAGACTAAACAGAAACTAAAACAGCACTACAACAACACCGTAGTGAAAGCTGGGAAAACTACATAAGAGACATGGAAGAACAAGGAACAAATATGCAAAATAATTGGTCACTTCAAAAGATATTTTCAATGAAAAATAGAGTAATAAAACTATCAGATCCTTCATTTCATACAAAAAACTTACAAATCCTACAGAAACTTTTTATTTCAAACGCTTATCCAACACCATTAGTGAATAAGATTTTGTTTAACACTATCCATAACGAAGATACTTCACCTTCCTTCGCGACTAACAATGCTGATCCTGATGTCTTAAGTGGGAACCCATTCTCGGATACTCCTATCAACAAATAATTTTCATTACCATATTTCAGAGATATCACTTCGGGGTTCACAAGGATTCTGAAAAGTGTTGAAAATAGCTTTGGTAATAATAATAACAACATTAAACGTAATGTGGCTTGTAGATCAGCCCTAACAATTAATATTCTTTATTCTAAGATAAAAGATAACACTCCCATAGATAGGCTTAGTAACATTGTCTACATCATTCCATGCCTCTCTTGCAACAATTCCTACATCGGCCAAACATCTCAATTATTGAAATCACGTATTACACTATACAAAAGTGATTCTTGACTTCACCCTGACCGCTGTGCATTAGCCAAACATGTCCATTCCACTGGTCATCTCATGGACTATACTAAAACTACAATTCTTCCACCGTGAGAACAATAAATCTAAAAGAGAGTTCATTGAAATATCTTATATTTTTCTTAACGATTGCTCCATCAATGTTTAGAGTGACATTAATAATCTAAGCGATATATACCACTTTTTACTTAAATCAGATACCAAGAACAATACAACATCACAGATAACCAACTTGACTGATATATCCATTAACAACTAACCTACTTTAATAATAGTTTTCATTAACTAAAAAAGATAACATTCCCTTGCTTTTCTTACATACATCTCAATAAGATATTATTATAATAATGCATGAACAATATAATATATTTAAAAAAAATTCAAATAAGAAAATCTAAAATAATATTTCCCCAAACTGGGATTTAACTTCAATCAGTTTTACCAATGAACCTTAACGACATAAAGATTCAAAAGTACTACTTGAATTGTCAGCACATGCGTTCTGATAAAACAGAATCTCACATTTAAACTTTCTAACAATTAAATATTTAGTTATTGTCGACAATTCAAAGAATTACTTCCTTTTAAATGTAGTTACATTGGGTTTTTCGATTGACCTTGGGTAAACCTTTGCGTTTTAAGTTCAAAGCTACCATACATTTCCAAAGTAAAAAAAACTTTTTTTGCACATAGTAACAAAAACATCACTATGTTGTTACTAGCTAAGTTTTTTAACATCCTAACTCAACAATTCTAAGTTACGGTAAGATCAATAATGTTTTTTAATAGATAATATATGGTAGCTAAGTATAATTTATTCTCTTTCAGCCCTGAAGAAGCCAAATTAATTCCGTTTGGCGAAAACGTTCGGCGAAACAATTGATACTCATTAGAGTATTTCTTGCAGATTTCCCCAATATTTAAGAGTTTACTATTTAATTTATCTGCAAAGATTAAATTTCCTTTCCTATATATAAATAAATATATATATGGAATAAAAATTTTAATACAATAATTTAAACACATTATTAATAAATTTTTGAATATTTGAAATTAACACAAAATAGTTAAAATAAAATAGTTAACTAAGATATGTATTACATCATGTGCAGCGTTTTGTTAGTTAAGTTAGGAATGTCATTGCCAAATCGTGAAATAAGGGACGCTCTCAATCGAGAATTGGAGCGTGAATGTGAATATGATTGGGATGTATTGAAGGAATTAGTTCGCACAAATTTATCAATATTAAAGTAAGGAAGGGAGAACAATAGAAGGAAGTGCACGATAATTTAATAAAAGTGACTGACGACAAACAAGTAAGTTGCATTGTTAAATGATATTTCCGCCGAAGAGTTCTCCAAGTAATTTCTGGCTTTCGGTAATGGACGTATTCTTCTGCCGAGAAATAGACGATTTTGTTTCGAACAAGAATCAAAGAATGAGCTCATGAACAAAGTGTTTTGAACTTTAATGCTAAGCTAAATCACTAATGGTTAAGTCAAGGAACAATTTTAGCTGCAAAGAACAAGGATATCAATGGCTTAAACTTTATAAATCAAAATCAAATTGTTAATCTACTGCATTCCCTCAAATATATCGACTATGTCATGTCACAAAAGAAGACGCACGCTTGGTTTACCGGCTTAAAATTTACACCGAAATGTTAAAATAATTTGAAATCTAAAAATATGTAACGAGACATCTCTCCTCAAAGGAAAAGGGAGTTCTCATTCCGAGAATTCCGAACTGATATGTCATTGGAATTTAAACGAACTTATTATTTGATTTGCCTGGCATTTGCCATGACGATAAACAAATCACAAGGTCAACCCTTAAATATTTGTGAAATAAATCTACAAAATATTGATTGGTCCCATCATAATCCTTTTTACGTATATATTCAGAACTTAGACATACATTATACATTTTAAAGTAGACGACTTTAAAATGATATTGCCAATATTGTTGAGTTGCGCTCCTGGGACGACTTTACTTATAAGATAGTTCATTCGATTACATGAAATCAACTTTAACTTGAGAATATCCGTCAGAAAAAATCATAACATGTAATTCGTCTTTAAAAAGGCAAACACATACCATGATGACAGTAAAATTCTCCTGTTAGTGATTCCATAGTAAATCATGAGGAAAAAACCAGGAAAAAAACCTCATAATACTATCCCGACATGGTAAGTATTTGGTCGTGCATTTAGTTTACCTTCAATAAACACCAAATTCTCATTTTATATCTTTGTTATTAAAAAAAAACATAAATGATGTATCTTCTGTATGTTACTGACTTACTAATAGTGGTATTTTCTTTTTAATAACTTCCTCTTTAAATATGGGTAACCAGATCCTACTACATTCTGCCGAGGAATTTGCGACACAATTGGTCCCATTTAGCATAATTAGAGCCGCTTCTTTAATTTTTCTCTTTTTACCATCCATTTCTTTTAGGACTAGATTTGAGTCATTCCATTGAACCCTATGTTCATTATCTCATGCGTGTTTACATATCTGAGATCTATTAAATTCTCTATTTTTAATATAGGATTGATGTTCACTTATTCTAACATTTAATGGCATTTGATAAACAAGAAACGACAACGAATTGCATTTATAAAATACCTTGTGAATACGATCAGTTTCATTTAGGTGAAACATCAAGACCATTAAATGTAAGAATAATTTAACAACAATCTTATATCAAAAATGGGGAATTTGATAGATCTCAAATATGTAAACACGCATGGGATAATGAACATGGGGTTCAATGGAATGACTCAAATATAGTCCTAAAAGAAGTGGATGGTAAAAAGAGAAAAATCAAAACAGCGGCTCTAATTATGCTAAATAAGACCAATTGTGTCGCAAATTCCTCAAATTTATACATTTTTTTAAATAACAAACATATAAAATCAGAATTTGGTGTTTATTGATGGTAAACTAAATGCACGATCAAATACTTACCATGTCGAGATAGTATTATGAGGTTTTTTTCCTGGTTTTTCCCTCATAATTTACTATGGAATCACTAACAGGAGAATTTTACTGTCATCATGTCATGTGTTTGTCTTTTTAAAGACGAATTACATGCTATGATTTTTTCTGACGGATATTCTCAAATTAAAGTTGATTTCATGTAATCGAATAAACTATCTTGTAAGTAAAGTCGTCCCAGGAGCGCAACTCAACAATATTGGTAATATCATTTTAAAGTCGCCTACTTAAAAATGTATAACGTATGTCTGAGTTGTCAATATACATAAATAAGTCAGATAAAATAAAATTATTAGATGCAATTTTCCACTAAGTAACAAAAAAACAAAATTTGTTTAATTTACTAATGTTTGTGTTTTGAGAACGATTTCCGAAGTGGGAATTAAAACGTACTTTACCCTTTAATTGTGGCTTATTCTCATTTAAATAGTAATTAATCTATAATTATAATCATCAAAAAGTAGAAAACCGAAGACCTCTTGATTATTGAAAACAACCTACAGATTTTTGCTTAAATATGCGCCTTTTATAATTGACAAGGCAAACTAGATGATGAAGGACCGACATGGCAAAACTGAAGTGGCATTTTACCATATCATATTGATTCATCTAAGTAAAAACCTTTCGTAAACTGGTTTCTTATAAAGAGTAAATCAACTTATAAAGAGTAAATATACCACTACTATACTTTTTAATAATGATTCCTATGGTACATTTGACGATTTACCATCCCGTATGTAGGAAGTGATTTTAATGAATAACAATTTTTAGTTTTATTCTTACAAATTTATTTCTTACCTGATTTTCCGTTGATATCTTTGGCTTTGAGGTTACGCGCTTTGAGCAAAGTTAACGTCAAGATACTGTTACTAGGATGGTAGCAGAGAGAAGTTAACAGCTCACCGCATTTATCCTTCGCTGGAGGTTTCAGTGCCTTCCAAAACGATGGTTTTTCGCTCAAATCAACCTGAAAAAGAAAAGATATATATATTATAAATATAACTTATTACCCATATTCAGAATTAGATTATTCAAGGTTATAATTGAGAAACAAATTTATAAAAGGCAACAGAAGATTAGCAGGGGAACCATTAAATATGCCCTTGTAAATAAAAACAAACATTTGTATTTGACGATGATTTGGTGCAGGGCTAATAAAAGAATAACAAAAAACATGAAAAAGCACGTATTGCTATATATATTCATATGAACTTTACACATTGCAGTTTTATATTAAAAAAATAATGATAAAAACAATGTCTGTATTTATCGGTAGTGCTGGGTTTTGTTTGCATTTTTGAACTAAAGTGTTAAGTGCGGCTATTCGTCTTGTTGCTGGTGGAGTGATGTTGCTTAAAACTGGAGGCCATTGTGTTGGTGTGGGCTTTATAGTTCCCGTTATGTGCCTCATTGTTTGATTTAACTCGGTATCTATGACGTTTGTGTGATGACTGTTTGATCAGATAGGAGCGCAATATTCTGCAGTAAGATATACTAACGACAGCGCGCTCATTCTGATGACTTCTGCGTTAGACCCCCATGATGTATTTGCTAATTTCTAAATAATGTTATTGCGGGTCTTTATTTTTGCTGGCTGTTTAAATGCTAGGGTACGATCTAGAGAGATTTTGGGTTTGAACTGTGCTTTAGAATGGTTCCATCGCATTTTATGTTTAGTCTATAATTTGCCTTGTCGTTGTTTAGATGGAAAGCTGTTACTTCAGTCTTCGACGGGTTTGGATGTAGGCCCCATTTTTTAAAGTATCTGTTAACAGTGTCTAGATCTGCTTCTATGGTAGTTTGGGCGATTTTTATGTCTTCTTGAGCACCCAGAGCCATGTCATCGGCATAAATAAATTGGCGCGAGGTAGTAGGTGGTACATCTGACGTATAAATATTAAAAAGAAGATGAGACATAACTGACCCTTGTGGTAAGCCGTTTTGCATGTTTCTGAACTTACTGTTTTTCCCATTTAGGTGTACTTGGAAAAGTCTGTAACTTAGCATTTGGTTTATCAGACTGTTGAACGAACGTTAAGGTACCATTTGGTATATTTTAAATAGAAAACTTTCCTTCTACACTGTGTCGTAGGCGTACCTCAGGTCTATGAAAGCTGCTACTATTTTAAGTTTCTTCTGAAATCCGTTCTCAATAAAAGTTGTTAAGAAGAGGACTTAATCGCCACAGCTTCTTCCCGGCATTAATCCAGCTTCTTCTTGAGTAATCCAGCTTTGCAAGGTAAAATAATCTCGTTTGGATTATCCTCTCAAATATCTTATAGCAGACGCTTAAAAGAGCGATTGGTCTGTAGCTCTCAGGTAGTGCAGGGTCTTTCCCAGGTTTAGATATTATGATGATCTTGCTTTTTTTGAAGGATTTTGGAAACTTTTGCTTAGTCAATATTTGGTTGTAAAATTATATATTGTATATGTACCATGTTTATAAATCAACCTAAATTAAAAATAAGCACAGGATTTTTATAAACTGCAATAATAAACAAGTGAGTCCATTTCAATTTTGGCCAAGAGAAATAAATAAAAAAGACTTACAACTAATTTATGCTAAACACGGACGAATGGTTTCGCATACTACTATGTATTCGAAACTATAAATTTCTCTGAATTTTCTGTCTGGTCCTCGGTAGCATCTAAACATTCCGTATATGTATTTAACACCAAGGACTTTTCTATTGGTCCTTTGCGGCACGTGGCCATGTGTTAACCAATAGGCGGCGAGGTGCGAAACACGTATATGGAATGTTACTTTGGTGCCAAATTCATATACGGAATGTTAAATCTTCGTTGTGATTGCTGTGAACATGTGATTGCTGAACAATGTATTATAATGCTGCATACTAAACTGACCCATCTTGTATCGCTTATTCCTAATATATCGATCTCCAGTCGCATCATCTCTTGCTGTATATTCCTCAGTTTCCAAGGTTCATACATACTTCTTACATTCCATGTAGCGATTTTGCAGATGGATTTGTATATATTTATTGAACAGAGTTGTTTCTGCTCCTGCCGAATCTTGGCATCCAAGAACCATGATTAGTAGGTTGTTAATTGTTGTTCTATAAGCCATGACGATTTGTAGGGATACTCCATGAGTCTTTAGTGCAGTGGTTTCCCGTTGCCATTTGCATTCTTGTACCGTTAACCAATTTATTGGTTATTCCGCCTTTGGAGTCGATTTCTCAGCTCCAGGACAAAAGAGTGTCCTATACCTGCCGACTCTGCCGAATCTGCCCGAAGCCGTTAGTCAGTAAGCAGAGGATTGCTTATACCGGCAATCATTTGGTAAATTACCTGTTGGTCCACGGGAGCTATTATAATTTCCCTCCTACCCACCGGTAAACCGGGTCGAGCATTCCTCTATCCGCCACCTAGGGGACGCGCTCTCTAGAAGTTACAGGTTCTCCCGAGAGCAACCAAGCAGTATGGTGCGGTAAATTTGAATTACTCCTGGTTAAGAAACAAACCGGAGAAGTGAACGATCCCAATTATTGCGCCAATCGAAAGTTAGTGTGGGTGCCGCGGTACCCGTGGAACCCGCTGTGGCTTCGCTTCGGCACTAGCCATTAATCATATATAAATTTGAAGCAATTTTCAAAATCACCATATGAATATAAATACCAAAGACTTACTTTACTTTACTTTATCGTGTCCGGACATGTTATTCATAAAATTTCAGTCCAGTATTGGGCTACGTCGGTTCCATCTTTGTCTACTATGTGTCATGTCCATTTTTCCAGGGTCTCAATCCATCTTTCCTGTCTGGCTTGACTTAGCTGTTGGAGTAATACTGCTCTGCAGTCAACCGTTTCTTGGCTAAAAGGGTCAGTGGAATAGAGGGTTTTGTATGTTCTCATTATTTCTTTGGACTCGCTGGACATCCCGGGAAAATATTGTTGTCTACATCCTCTAGGGATAGTTTTTCTAGACACATTTTTGAGTACCTCTACGAATTTTTCGTAGTTCTCTACTTTTGGTTCAAGGCGTAGTAGTTCAGAATCTAGCATGTCTGCATACTTTTGCCAGTTTGCCTTTTTGAAGTTAAATCTCCTTCTGAATGGAATAGCTTGTGGTCTGATAACTGGGAAGATATTTATACCAAAGACAAAAACCACGATTTCAACAAAAGAATGCTCATAAACTGGCAACAATGACATATTCTCGATATATTAAAAAATACCCAGCTATCTTTCATAAAAATAATAAAATAAAAACGAAACAATTTCTGAAATTACATATTATTGATTTAAGTATTAGCTTAATACAAAATCAATGATTTGTTAGATTTATAAAGTGTTATTCATAAAATGAAAAAAAAGTAATGAGAATAAAACACAAAGTGCATGTATGAAAGTAGATTACTTTCTTATTTAACATATAAATTATAAAGCACGTTAATTCTTTATAAACTGGCTTTATAATGAACTGTTTAGGAATTTTCATCTTTCCGCTACTACGCTCCTTTATATTTTCCACGGGTTCTTTTTATCTTGTTTAACAAAGGATCCATGTAAAGTTTTAGTTAGAAACATGTAGCTATTAACATTTTATTACTATCATGCGGCAACTTTAACCTAAAATTGGTCAGGTTGTATTGGTCTATTTTTAAAATGTTCTATTTTATAATTACTAGAAATGTATATTAATCTAAAAATAAGTATTATTATTTTTTTTCCTACAAAATAGTACTAAAAAAAAGTAAGCAATTTTATACAAAAAAAAGTTAAATCTTATGGAACACAGACCTTTTAAATAATCTCTTCAGTTCTTTGAATAACTATTTTGACCTAACACAACTAATAAATTTAAACCAATATTATAAAGAGGTTGTTGATGTTTGAATTTGTCACATTCAAAGGTATGATTTCCTGTTAAGGTTGAATTGCAGCGCTGGCATATTGGTGGGTTACATTTTGAAAAAAGATAAGAGTGTCTGAGTCTAAAATAGTATGGTCTAATCGTAATCGCTTAACTACACTCTGATCATGGCAACTTTTGTAAAAAGGTTTAGTTCCCGTAACTATATCTTTAATTTGTCTAATGTAGTTTAGACGTTGATATTTGGCATTCGTTATGTCAGACTTCTAAGATTCTTACCATAATAGAAAGCTTTAAGAGTATTATTCTTTATTTCATCTATCTATGCTTATATAAATTTGAATTTTTTATTCGATAGTAAATTATCAAATCAGTTGCATTCAAAAAATGAAATGAAACTGCGAGAGGGTAAGAAATAGAGGGTAAGAGGATAAGAGGATAAGGAATACACATTGCCTCATTAGAAAAAATCTACAATAAAAATGAGGTCGCTATAATTGGACGGCCTCAATGCAAAAGGTAACAAATCATTTTTCGGATTTGTTTTCTCATGTGATATTAATTGGTTTACCAATGTCTAACTCTGTGCAAAAATAAACAAGTCTACTACCACTGAAAGGCTACATTTTTTTACGTGTAAAACGTAATAAGTTAAATAATATGAAAAACTTCATTTGTACAAAAAGGAAATAAGTGGACTTGTTACCTCCTTTACAGTATTTGAATTCACCAAACACTGCCTGGATGTCATGTTTCCAGTTAGTAATAGTACATTTTGGTTTGGTTTGGTATCTTTTGTCCGTCCTTGTTTAAGACACTACTACTCTGGCAACCCTGTCCTCAATGACATGTGTATAGATTAATTCAACCTTGGTGGGAGTGTGCTATGGACATGTGCTTGGTGCAATGCAAAGGTAACGTATTGTTGGAGGCTACTTTTGTGCTTAAGTCTTACTTCCTCAGATCGTCAATGATGTAATAAATATAGAGAAAAATCAACCCCAAGAAAAAGTTAAAAAGAGAGGCTCAAAAGATGATACTAGAGAAGAAAGAAAAAAAAGAAAGTTATCCCGACATCAAGGATTAGAGTATTTTACGGGGCAAGGTATGAAAGTTGCTGGGCCCAATTTAGCTACCACTGCCTTCTTGCAGAAAAAAGTGCAGTGGAAAAATTTCACTTGAAAATCAAAAAAATATTTACACTGCCTAATAGAATTTAAAGACAGGTTACCGAAGGGTAGCCTATCTGTGCGGTCTCTTAAGTAAAGATGATAATCTGAACCAGGGTTAAAGGACGCGACAAAATAAGCCTAAAAACCAGAAGAAAAGAACAGCTTCATTACAATATTCCGATTCAGGGCCAAATGACCTTGCATCTCTTCCAGCATATGAGAGTCCTTACTGTCATAAAGAGACTACTAAAAAATATTTGCCACCTCACTACACGCCGAAGGAAGTTTACAGTAAATATAAACAAGAAGTAGATGACCCAGTCAGTTTAAGTATTTATGGCAACGCCTGTCGTAACTCCGGAATAAGAATAAAAATCCTAAAAAGGGTACTTCTCATACACGTGACGAAATTAAAATAAAAGTTTCATACGCTCAAGCTATCGAGAAGGAATTGTTACTGGAAAGTAAGAAGAATCATCACATGAAAGCTTTATTAACTTATGCAATGAAGTTGGCAGACAAGCAGCAGAGTCAGAATAACCGAAACTTTACTTCAATTGCATTTGATTTACAAGCGTGCTTGGGGAACTTCACTTGTGCAAACATCAGGGACCTTCTGTAAATGACAATTATGAACATTTAATCTGACCATGCAAAACATGAAAACAGGAGTCGCTTCATGTTTTCTGTGGTATGAGAATATGGCAAAAAGAGGAGGAAACGAGACTGCTTCTTGTGTGTTCCATGGACTCAACCAAATAGAAAAAAATATTTCACATGTCGTTTTGTACAGCGACTCATGCACAGGTTAAAAACCTGTTAAAAACAGAATTATCATTTACAAAAAAAAAACAGGCTTACCAACAACCACTGTCACTATCATTGGAAAAAAAAGAGACATTTTTTCAGTATTTCTGTACCTCTCGCCGGTGTATCATAAATTTGATCAAGATCTACCAGCCCAAGGTGTTTTGCTCGATCCTTTAATAAGTGACGAAGAGGACTAGCATTTTTGTATTTACCATTTTTTATAATAATACATACACGTTAGATATACCTTTTTTATTAATAAAGTTTTTGTAATAAATTTAATGTATTTTTGTGCTTTGAAGCTGCTAAAAAAAATAGTACCTGAGTAAGTCTGTGTAATTGGTAACAAGTAAGGAAAATATTGTACATTTTGTAACAAGTCAAGAAATTTGACTAAATTGAAAGTTCTGCTATAAAATTTTTTAAAGTTCAGTAATAACCACTATTTTGTATAGTTTTCTGAAAAATATGAAAAAAATTATTCAAAAAAACCCAAGAATCGTTTTTTTTCGTGTCCTTAAAACGAAGTAATTTGACATGTTACCTTTTGCATTGAGGCCGTCCAATTAATGATATCAAAATCTTTTTCTTCTTCTACTTTTGATGTAGACATGACTCTGTCTGTTTTTCAATGTGCCTACAGTAAGTTGTCGTTCCATCGTTTTTGTGGTCTTCCTACTGATGTTCTTCCTATTGGAGAACCATCTCTTGCCGTCTTTACTAGTCTATTTGTTGTCATTCGGCTTATATGCTCGTTTCATTCTACTCTTCTATTTCTTACCCAGTTCTTAATGTTTTTCAACTTGCATCTACGTTGCATATCTGCACTTCTAGCTCTGTCTCATAATATTTTACCATCAATTTTTTCAAGTGTTTAATTTTTGCTGTTTCTAACATCTATTTTGTCCTCTCTGTGTCTTATTTCTGCCACATATGTCATTATTGGTCTGATGACTGTTTTGTAAATTCTGCTTTTCATTTCTTTTCTGATATTTTTATTTCTCCATATTGTTTCATTCAGGCAACCTGCGTCTTTGTTTGCTCTATTTACTTGAGCTTCCACTTTAGTTTCGAGCTTTCCGTGGCTAGATAATGTGATGCCTAAATATTTATACTCCGTCACTTGTTCTATTATGTGACCTTCCAGCTTCAATTTATATCTTAGTAAATTTACTGTTATAACCACACATTTTGTCTTTTTTTGGGGAAATTAACATGTTGAATTTTCTGACGGTTATATTAAATTGGTGCAACATACGTTGTAGATCATCTTCACTCTGAAAGAGTAGTATTGCATCGTCTGCATAGTAGATTATTTTAAGTTGTTTTTGTCCCATTTGGTATCCTTTTTTAATTCTTATTTTTTTTATTATTGTATCCATAATCAGGTTGACTAATAGAGGACTCACGAAATCTCCCTGTCTTATCCCATTGACAACTTCAATAGGGTTGTTTAGAACTTCTTCTACCTTTATTTTTATTGTGTTCTTTTGGTACATATTTTTGATAGTTCTGATCATTCCTGGAGGTATCTATCTTGCGTAAAATAAGTGGAAAACGTCCTTTAATTTAACCCGGTCAAATACCTTTTAAAATCCGCAAAGCATAGATATGCCAGTTTATTGTATTCTAATGATTTCTCTTGCACTTGCCTCCTTATAAATATAGCGTCAGTGCATGATCTTTCTGACCTAAAATCTTGTTTTTCTGCTAGTGTTATAATTTTATACAGTTTAATTGTTATCACTTTGGTTGTTAATTTTAGTGTTGTGTTAAATAAATTAATTGCTCCGTAAATTCCAATTCCAAATTCTCGTCCTCTTTTAAGAGAGATATTAGATATTTGTACTGCCTGGATACTCCAATAATATTTTTAACCGCTTGTACAGAAGAATCTACTTTTTAAAAAAATATGTAACAGCTCATGGTTCTTGGTAATCAATACAACTCTGTTTCTAATTTTTTTAAAGATTTTTCAGTGCCTTGTAAGGGCCAATAAAAACACTTTTCAAAAAACAGGTATTTTATGATTCTATATATAAATCTGATGTTTAGTATGAATTTAGGTTGCCAGCATTGACTACTCGCGCATGCTTAGTTTCTAAAACTCTGTTATCAGTAGTTTTATACTGTCAAAGTCCCATAATGTTTCTCTTAATATTACTATGTAAATATTTCTTTCTCAACAAATATAATTTAGCCCTGTATTATATTTACCTTATCAAGAAGTCGAGTTTTCATTAAATGTCTTAATATTTTTTATTAGCTCATAAATCTTTTAAATTTTTATTACCTCAGACCCTTGCATATAGACTGCAACTCTGGAAGGTATATATATATATATATATATATATATATATATATATATATATATATATATATATATATATATATAATTTGGTAGTTTAGTTTGGTAGATAAATCCACTTCATCTAATTTACATAATGATGCACGTCATCGGTGTCATAGCCCGTGACGTCACATGATACCAACACGAAATATTTAGGCGTTAGGCGTGTTCTTTTTTAGAATCACTGCCAAGTACACTGGCATTACAGCTGCTAGACATATTTTATTATATACGCGTAGAAATAATATTTAAAAATAAATTAAAGTACAAAAAGTGTAGTGTTGACACTTTTTGTACTTTATTGTTTTGAATTTTAAAGTGAATACATCTTGTTTTAAATTTCTACCTGTTTAATAAAATATGTTCTTTTTAGAACCAAATTAGTGTGTTTTATTTCAAAAATGTCACGTAAGAATTTAAATAGGCGTTGTAAAAAGATGGTAATACTTTTGCAATAATTATGTGATCTATTTGATTTAAAATGAGGTTTGAATTTTTTTATACTTTGACAACTATGTCAACTTCGATCTCTGACGTAGATAATGACGTGCATCGGTATGTAAATTACATGAAGTATACCTAAGTAGTTGATGAAACTTTATTTTTTTGTAGAAATAAAAACAATTAAATGTTCTTACCTGACATAGTGGTAGAAAGACCTCTCCGATTGAGTCATCTCTGGAGAATCTGTCATAGTCAAAAACGTGTAAATGCAATACCCTCGACTGCAATTTTTGAATTGGAAATCCTTCGAAATAAAACGTTTCGTTCCATCGGGGATTCAACGTTCGTCGCTTAATTTTTGTCTCTAGTCGATGTTTCTTGTCAGGCAACAACGTCACCCGAACGTAGGGGTCGCTAGTGCCTGACAGATCCTTTGCTGGCAGATCTTTACCCTGAAACAAAAAAGATAATATAAAATATGTTTTTGGCAAGAAAAAGTCATCGAGACATTTGCACTGTTTCATGGTATTTTTATATCACAGATGTATATGGTTATACATTTGTGGTCCGCAAGTTTGCTGTCTTGCTGATATGGATTGTCCAAGATTAGATATTTTATACACTAGATATTTTCACAGTTAATTTACATAACATTTCGAATATTTTAAATGGGTTATTTTGTAATTTCATAAAATTCTGATGACTGAGATTGAACCTCAGTGGTTAAGAGGAACGATATTGTATCACGAACAGCATACTGCAAACTTAAGAGAGAGACTAATAGTTGCAGTTGCAGACAAAACATAATTAACGAAAAATTCCAGAACATGCCTATAAATCCCTATAACAATATAACTTTAAAATTTAACCGCAAATGCATACTTTACTTTATATTCTGGCGTGTCTAGGAAGTAAATAAGCACAAATTCCAAAGTTATTTGCCTAGAACAGTTTCTCTATATTTAATGTATGAAA